GCTTGGGGCCAGATAGTGTGTCCGGGGAGGGCTTTCGTAGAAAGAAGGTCGCCTTGGGCCAGAGGTGCTTAGGGCGCGAAATACGTAGAGATACAGCAAAGGCAGCGAGAACGTGTCGCGTGAAGAGGACAAAAGAAAAGTCTCGATGGAAGGATCAGCTCAGGCATTTAATTCAAAGCCAGCACCCGAGGCGACAATCCACCACCCAAGCAGCATCCGGCGATGAAACTCCATTTCGGGAGGACTAGCTTTTCTGCACCTAGCCCAGAATACAGAGCCTTGCAAAATTCGCATGGCACAAACAGTTCGTTTTTAGAATGTTCTTTGACTATAGTGGAGTTCACCATGCATGTACTATGACTGATCAAGTTAAGTGCACGAAGGAACTTCATCCAATCGATAGATGTAAATATCTCTCCGCTTATTGTAATGACAACTTGATATGCTGGTTCGTTGAAGACCTGTGACCCCATGATAACTAATTTACCTTTCCGCATACTGTAAGACATTTGAACCAAGCGAAGACTGTGTTTTGCTACTTCTCAGGAGGGCTAGTAGCCCCGTTGTCCAGCAGCATCTACACTATCACTGTGTGGCCACCCCGGGATGCCGCCTGTAGCGCGTTGCTATAGTAGCCTCCTTGAGCGTTGATATCCGCTCCCTGGTCCAGCAGCATCTGCACCACTGCTGTGTAGCTACCCTAGGATGCCGCCTGTAGCGTATTGCTATACTCGCCTCCTTGTGCGTTGACATTAGTACCTGTATCCAGCAGCATCTGCACCACTGTCTCCTGCCCCATAAATAATGCCGCCTGCAGCGCGTTGCTAAACACGCCTTGTTGTGCGTTCACATCAGCACCCGTGTCCAGTAGCATCTGCACCACTATCTTATAGCCTCGCTCTACTACTGCCTGCAACACACTGCTATACTCGCCTCCTTGTGCATGGACATCAGCACCCATATCTAGCAGCATCTGCACCACTATCTCCTACCCTGTAAATAATGCTGCCTATAGCGTATTGCCATAGAGGCCTCCTTGTGCGTTGACATTAGCACCCTTGGCCAGCAGCACCTGTACTACCATCTCATGGCTACTGTATAATGACGCCTGCAGCACATTGCTATACTCACCTCCTTGTGCGTTAATATTGGCACCCGCGTCTAGCAGCATCTATACCACTTCCTCATGGCTATACCGGGATGCTGCCTACAGTGCGTTGCCATAGTGGCCTCCTTGTGCGTTAACATCAGCACCTACGTCTAGCAGCATCTGTACCACCCTCTCATGGCCACCTACTGATGCTGCCTGCAGTGTGTTGCTATCAAAGCCTCCTTATGCATTAACATCAGCTCCCTGGTCTAGCAGCATCTGCACCACCACTGTGTAGCCATCACATGATGCTGCCTGTAGCGTGTTGCTATATAAGCTGCCTTATACATGGACATCAGTACCCACATCCAGCAGCATCCGCACCACTGTCTTGTAGCCATATTAACTAGCCTAGATAACAGTGCTATTACCCTAGCTATCACACTTATCAATCTTAACTGTACTAATCTACCCTAGTATTTACACTATAGATTCTCTATATCCTAAAAGGGCTGCTAGTTAAAGTTTATTAATATTCAGTAGATTAGTGTAGCAATCTAATAATTACTAGTAAATAAGGAACTATAGTTGCTAAAGGCTGTCTACTTTATAGTAGAATAACATTAGTTTTACCACATCCATATTATTTACTGTGCCTTGTGCTGCGCAGAAGTATAACAGCTAGTGTTCCACTGTATATATCATCAATATCTCAATCTCATTATTAGACCACAGAATCTTCTTGACTGATGAATACATCTTGATTTGCCAAACCACATCCTGAGTGATATCTAAGACATCCTGTAACCTTAAGAAATCTATATAGATCTAAGCTATCACTACTTTGGTCTAATTCAGGTTAAGATAGTACTTCTATCCTAATAGTGGATTACACACCTGGCTATCCACTAAGAGAAACTCCTTAGCTATCTAGTGGATAAGATAGATCTAGTTATGGTTAAAGAATATAAATAACCTGCACTAGCACTAAAGACTGCCACTCACCTATAATAGATCTAAGTGCACCTGACTCACCCTCTTTACATCCTGTGATCTCTGAGACGCAATCCTTAGGATAATCACTATCTCCCTCACTATTAGTGGGCGCTAACTTCTCACTATAATCTATAAAATCTGTACTACCTTGCCTCTCTAGTTATAGTTAATACAGTTAAGGATCTTCTTGTACATATCTTCCACCATCTAGGGAAGTAGGAGAATTAACTCCTTCTTAGGTGTAAAACTATTGCGGTATATTGTATAGATACCCTTAATAGCTAAGTAAAGCCACAGGTATATCTAGTACTCCATCTACTGCAGCTTAATTTATAGTTTATCAGTAATAGCCAAGTGTAGGTTTAAGTTACTACCAAGCTTGGCAATATATATTTAGATCACAAGGTTAATCTCGCAGTGTATTTAATCATTCTCTTCTTCCCCTCATAATCAGATCGTCAGAAGGTCCGACAATATCTGCTGAAAGACATACTGGATATTGTTATAGGGCCGGCTAGTGACCACAAACTTTAACTAGCTTCTTTAGTGTGTATATAATAGTCGCTACATATTGTGATAGAACCAGGCCAACATCTAAATTAGTGTTAATTGGTCCGCCTATTAATATTTATCTAAGATATCCAGGATGCATGTCACCTCCTGTACTTCAGTATCACTTATAGCAGTGAGCAGTGTTCACTAGAGCTACACTACATCTAACTGTATCTTATCCGGCTTATTAGGATTATAGATAGTTAGTGTATAGTGGATTAGTCTTAGCTATTGTGTAAGCAACTAGTAAAGGATAGTACACAGAGCGATCACAGTATGATCCTGCTCCTTATTCTCTTTAAAGAAGAAGTAGTAGATACTGCGCATGCTTGAGCCCTATAGCTTATAATCTACCAGCAACTTGGCCAATATCAACTTGCTATAGCTAGAATTGGCTAAAATCCACAAGAGACTATCACCTTCACTGTTATGCTATCACTAATACTGCTCATATTATAGCACCTACTAGCACATCTCCTCTACTTAGTTAGGATTCCTATCCTTCTACTCCTTATAACTACTAATTAGTTTAAATGCTTGATAGTAACGTTGATATTTATTGTCTTACTAATAGTTCATCTATGCCTATAGGGCATAAGTCTAAGTCTAGAAGTCCTATTACAGGTCCTGCAGAATATCTGTTATATAAGTCTGTTAGCCCTATTGTTCAGTATAGAGACTGTAAAGCATTAAATAGGTTGCATTAGAACTTTTTAATAAAAAAAGGTACTAGGTATTAGTTGCCTAGTATCACTACTCACCAACAATATTCTAGACACTTTTATAGATAGGTCTCTCCTGGCTAGCTTGTGCCAGCACTACATAGAACAGAAACTCTTTTATATACACCACTACCATCATCACCACATACAGATACTACACATTATTCTTAGAACTATCCACATAGTTATAGATTCCCCAAATCACTAGGTATAGAAAGTTACTTATTAGCCTCATAGTCTTTATCTCAATATAAAGCGCACTATACTAATCTTATAGCTAGTTACACACCATTGCATCCTTCACTACTACATTACTCAAAGCAATAATACTATAATATAGCACTAATGCCAAGCTCTTTTATACCTTATATTAATGTCTACTATTACACTCACTAGCAGCATTATTAATATGGGTGTGGCAAATAATACATATTAACCAGTCTGGCACGTCAGGCTATATAAACCCATTATTCTTTAACATTAAGTTCTTCCTCACCACCTTATTAATATACTGAATAATCTTACTAGGCTATAGTTAATACTACACCTGTACCTGTAATAGCGTCTATAGCAGTATCTTTAGCGGCTAATTAAGCTGTCCTTTAACTGTAAATACCTTACTATCCTTGGCCTTACTATAATCATACTATACTACTCTACCCTACATCTTGTCTAGTATACTCACCACTATATCTCCTAGCTAGATGTTTACTCCTTAGGCTAGATTGAGAATATCACCACTAATACCTACTATCAGCCTAACCCACAGCTCAGGGAACGTTCACACTATGTCCTTCGCCACCGTCACTGCCGACACCACCCTATCCACTCCTGCTGGCATGCACGTGATCACCACGTTGTGTTAATGTATTCTTCCCAGCACATAGCTATTGTGATCCTGCTTGTCTTGTCCTGCAATTATTGGATGCTCTTCATCCAGCATCGCCATCGCGGCCGTGAACTCGGTGTCTAGTGCACATATCCAACCAATATGGTAGTCTTGCACCGTGAGGCTCGACATTGTAGGAGAAGGTAGGAGACCGAATAGGGGCAGTCGCAAGTTTCCAATCGATGTTCGAATATCAGGCCCTAAAGACGATCAGTACAATCATGTTGGCAGTTCTGCACCATCAGGCTGGGGGGCAGCATCGTTTTCAGCTGCGCGGTCCGCGAAGCCCCAAAGCCGCCGCTCCCTGCATTTACGAATGCGATTCTGAAACCAATCACTGACACCCTGGGCCATTGACAACAAGGCTACAGTACAGTACTGTACCAGGTGGCAGCGCGGCTAGACCAACGCGAGATGGACCAGGTGTCCACTCAGCGCGCTCTGGGTTTTGTTGGCACGTGACGATCGCTGCAGTCTAAATTGGGAAGCGACTCCACCGCCGCTCATCTGGAGAGCTTCTCCAGGCCTTCCCCGGTGTTACTTTGTCCTGTGAGATGCTTAGGCTCGACAGCATGCGGGTCACGGCAACAATTCTTCAGCCAGGTATCTTGATCAGTCGTATAACTTTTAAATGTCCACTCACGGTAGTCAGCAGCAACAGCAGCAGCAGCAGCAACAGAAAGCCATACATGGAACAGCATCGATCGTGTTACCTTTTCTATTAACGACGTGAGCCATTTCAGCACAGCTGTATCGCCTTATCTGATCTATCACCAGTTGTCTACACTTCCGCCGACATGTTACATGTATGTCTAAGACTCTGGTAATGGTTGTCGTTGCAGAAGACTGAAAGTTACAGCTTCTTGGACAGGGCATCGTACAATCGACTTGGTCATAATCGCGCAACACTGCTAGCCAGTTTCAATGTGCCAACTTCCCTCGCAAGACAATGTTTCGTCGATTTCAATGGCTACTTCGGCACGCACACATCCCTTGATATTAACGAGCGGCTCGAAAGCTGCAGTAAGACCTGCTTTGTCGCGCAGGTTCGTCCTGGCTGATTCTTGGCAACAGCATTGTGGTTGCGATGTTTATCGAAGCTAGTGCGCGCCTCGCCGCTTACCATGCGCGAAGACCTCACGGATGATATGGGCTCTGATCGAAACTATACCTGGTTTGAGATGGATTTCTTCACTCACTGGACAGCGCCGAACCGTTGTCGCGTGTTGTGCATCGACACTCCTCCGAGTTTCCAGGCGGCGCTTCTTGCAAGCCTCCAGGAGTTGTCGGCCATTCGCACAGCCGACGGGTGCGCTATGATTCGAGCTGTGGTCACTGAACTCATCAGTGTCCTGGACAGGTCGGTCTGGCGACTGCGAGACCATGTCCGTAGTTTAGAACAGGTAGGTAATCGCATCGCATCCAGTCTTCATGATCTGCTGTAACAAGAATTGAGGTAGGCTCGTCGAAGCCGACAGAAGCACTTCGACGACATGCATGATCTCGCTCGACACGGGACGCAGCTTTCTGAGGTCTTGGATGTGTCGGTCCAGTCACTGGAAAGGTTATGTGAGTATCAAGATACGATGCATGACAGACATCAATCAGAACTGTCGTTGAACTACCGCGTGCAAGCTGCCGAATCCCTCCGCTTCCAGACTCAGGCTGTACATAATCTGAAGTTGCGCTCTGACGCCAACAATCAGCGTCTCCAGAACGAATTGACCCTGGTGAGTTTCAGCAGCATGCCGTCACGTCTGTACACGACCTTGACAGTCCCAGGCATTCTACAGCGTGGCTAGTATGGAGAACTCGGTCATCAAGTCGATCACCATCCTGACTATGTTCTTTTTACCAGCTACTTACATCTGTGTACGTTCTATCCGCTTCCATTCCATGTACATGAATAGTTGCTAACAATGAAGCAGGCCTTGTTCAGCACCACCTTTTTCTCATTCGGCGCACAAGGTTTGGAAGTGTCGGGCAAGTTCTGGCTCTACTGGGCAGTCACCATCCCGGCCACTGCGTCCATTGTCATGGGATACTGGTTGTTCTTGAGGGGCGCGATACGGAACAGACAGCCAAGGGGAAGCATACGTCTGTCCCACGTTGCCTCGGGGCACTGACTCCGCAACCCTCAGCCTTTGGCGTATCGCATGATAGCATGACTAGGATCTTATACTCGACGAGATAACACCGGCCTTCCCGATGATCGGTATCGTCTGCGAAGAATAGTGAGATTTATTTTGATGCACAAACATGCATGGAGTTGGTTACCATGGCTCCCGCTAAAACCACTGGATATATATTCCACACATGCCGCAACGTCCCTGGCGCAAAATTCTCCTCCTCCTGTGCACATATCTGCTGGAAAGCGAGATGATGGCCCTGTGGGCAGTGTCCGTAGGCTGGTATTGTCAAACATGTCATGGACCTTGGAGCAAAGGACGCAGTACAATGTTTGAGGGGCAGAAGATTCTAGAAACTCCGTCACGTGACTCGCTGTTGTGGACGATCTGGCATCTAGCAGTTTCTGCTGCATCGTTTCTACAGTACAAAGGACGATGGCACCTCCTCTCCCAGTGGAAGTACATGATCAAATTCGTCACATGATAGACGTGGGCTTTGGCGACACAGCTATTCATAAGGTAGTCCCCTGCAGCCGCAATGGCGTCGGCCGGATACGCTACAACCTGCAGACGTTCGGGCGCACTACTGCACCCCGCAACCGCCGGGGCCGACGACGATCGCTAACCGAGGAGATGCGTGATGCCCTTCTCGAATATCTCCGAATCTGGCCGGACCGAAAACTCCAAGAGCAGGTTGAATATTTAGCAGACACATTTGGTGTCCTTGTCTCCACGTCAACAGTGAGCAGGGCACTCAAGCGGGTAAAGTGGTCAAAGAAGAACAATCGTCGAGTTGCTCAGCAGAGTGACCCAGATCTTCAGGATTTATTCCTGCACACTATCGCGCCAATGGAGTGCAAGCAACTCGTATTTGTGGATGAGACAGGCTGCGAGCCACGAGACGGGTTTAGGCCACAGGGTTGGGCCCCGATAGGCACGACACCAGTGCAAATCGCCCAATTTCAGCGCGGCCAACGACTCCACGTGTTGCCGGCATACACGTGCGATGGTGTCATCCATTTCAAAGTCTACAAAGGGACAACAACTGCGGCGGTATTTGAGAGATTTATTGAGGAGCTCCTCATACGTTGTAATCCATGGCCCGAGCCTTGCTCTGTGCTGGTGATGGATAATGCGTCCTTTCACCATTCAGACAAAGTCCAAAGGATGTGTCGAGCGGCTGGGGTTAAAATCATGTATCTGTCTCCTTACTCCCCACGCCTAAACCCCATTGAAGAATTCTTTGCCGAGCTCAAGGCGTTTCTGAAGAGCCAGTGGACGGCATACGGTGGGACGACAGAACGAGATTTCGCCGCGTTCCTGGAGTGGTGCGTAGAGCGCGTGGGCCGAAATCAGGACAGTGCGAAAGGTCACTTCAGGAATGCTGGCTATGTTTGTTCGGGATATGGTATGAACGGAAGTCAGTGCCATTGATGTGTACGTAAGGCTGTAGAATTTCAATGTTTCCCAGTATCACGCCAGTGTCAAAACCATGAATCTATTCCTCCCTATCACTCTGGATGGTCACCTCAACATCGACAGTGAACAGTGTCGGTCACGAAGACGCTAGTCGTTGCATCGGCGACGCTTGGCCCACACGGGGATGTCATTGATAAAGCGCTTGGCAGTACCGACACGGACGCCTTTCTCGACTAGGAATGTAACGTCTTGCTCGCTATAAATCTGCTGCAGATCGCGGTAGTCTTCCAGGGTTGCGGTGCAGGCCTTGTCGACGTCTGCTTTGTACTTCGGGTCCTCCACCCGTGACTTTTGCCACGTACTGTACTCTCGGACCCTCAAATCGAGCGGGCTTGGAATGTCGAGTGGTCCCGTTGCTTGTGTTGAGGTTTGCTCATGACCACCGTCTGTCGACGACTTAGGAGCAGAGCACGGAGGACAGTCTGGAAAGTGGTTGTTAATCGTGATGGGAGTCATGCCGACGGCTGACTTGGCTGACTTGGCTTGACCGGGCTCGCCTCTCTGACGTTCCTCGGCGAAAAGTTGTCGACGAAAATCATCAGGCACATCATCCTGGCTGTTGAGCGTCATGCCGTTCAGCTTGCGTTCTACGAGATCTTCTAAGTGGTACGTGAACATCTTATAGTGCCGCTTGCTGACCGGATCAACAAAACAGTGAGGTCCTTTAGCGCATGAATTGGGACAACGCATGACACGGTACACATCCGCGTAAGTGTCAGCCTCACCGGTACTCTCTTGTTGGGCATGAAGTTGATTAAGACGTCGCTGTCGCATCCGCTGTGTGGCGGACAACGTGCTCTTCTTCCTACCTGGCTGAGAGAGAGCGCTGACGGGTTGCTGGTTTGGCAGAATATAGTGAAAGGTGATGTCCACTCGGAGTTTCTTGCCCGACTGGAATAAATCGGCCCACTGTGTCAGCTGATTGTCAATCACTTGCCATTCAATATTCTCTTCAAACCGTTTGACGAGCTTCCGCGCAGCACGTCCCACCGAAACGGTCAAAACGGTGTGACCGACCTGATAAGCGGTGTTGGACCCGAGCTCTTTCCTCACGAGTTCGTTCACTCGAGATTGCAAGCGCTGCTTCCAGTAGTCTTCTGGGCTCAGCACTACATCAGGCTCTGTATCCCTTACGAATTCTTTCCCATTCGACGATGATGCCGACGACGTTGCCGACCATTGAATGGAATATTGCAGGTAAATGGGCGGATCTTCATCATAGCGTACATCTCTATTCCATTTCTCTAGAGGCAGAAAACCGAGTTTCGGTCGATTTACGATATCCCTCTGATGCGTTCGTGGACGGCCGAGAGCGGCAGTGGGTGACTCAACGGGTGTGGAGGTGTCCAGTGTGCTCGGGACACCTGGCGTTTGCGAGGACCGCACGTGTCGCACTCGCCCATACGGTGGCGTGCCTTGCAACTCACACGGCTGAGGTGAGAAGATGCCCGAGAACAAATCCCGGTCTAATTCAGCCATGTCGAGCCATGGGCACAGGATTCAGTGGTCGCAAGACCACGGGTTGGGTGCGCAGTGTCAGCATCGGCCACGACCAGTGGACCCACCTTCCATGACCTTCTCCAGGTCACCATCACCACCACCACGCATTGCTGTTGCGTGTTCAGAACATGTCGAGGTCAAAGCACTTGCGCTCGTGATTCTGTTGATTCAGCACACACGTCGAGAGCTGCTGGCATGTTTTCTCCCGGTCCTAGCAAGCCCCCTGTGTTTCTCTTGCAGACCTCCCTCATATGCACCACCCAGGTGCTGGCAACCGTGCCTTCAACCGCACCCCATCTCATGGCGAGACCGTGTCTAGATTCGCGACTGTGAGGTTGGGAGGACCTCGTCCGTAATCGATGGTCGCGGCGTCGTGCGATAGGAATCGGAACAACTGTTTGAGCCTCGCTGCCGATTACTTGTCGTCCCGTGACCTTGCGTGAGCAGAGGGTAATTTGAAGAGTAGCAGACAAAACGCAGCTGCGACTTGAGGGCTCGGATAAATATATACGAGTGGACGCCTAGCAGAACCCTTCCGAGAGCTGAATTTCGATTGCCACCACATCCCCGCTGGTGCGGGGCGGAGGTTGGCGGAAACTAGCAAAATCTAGCTTCGAACGCATGCCGATGCCCGAGATTACCTCCTCGTTGATGGCTAGGCATCTCGGAACTGTTTTCGAATTTCTCGTGGATTTTTTGTCACCAGCGGTGAAAGTGTCCGAGTCGTAACACTGCGAATTTGACATCTAAGTAAGGAATAGAAATGCTACCCGAGATTCCCTCAGCTACAGTACAATAACTGCAGTCTTCAGCGCCCATTGGTCTTTATTCTGGGCTGCATGCATGAGTGCGAGCGCGGCCTATGTGAGGTCGGCAGGCAACGCGGCTGAGAGACACAACGCCCCAAGGCTGATAATCAACATCAGGCTCACGACTCTCTGCCTACTGACGATGACAGCTCTTTCACGTACAGGCACTATACTAGTAGCATCCCGTTGACTGCATCTCTCAGGCTACCTCCTTTTGCCATCCTGCGTTGAGCCAGCCCGTTGAAGACGGCCGTGGAGACCACTGTTTATCCTACCTTCGCTTACAATGTCAAGCCTGACCGTTCAAGACTACCACATCGGCTGGATATGCGCCCTGGAGGACGAAATGGCTGCCGCGATAGCGATGCTGGATGAAGAGCACTCGATAATTGCAGGACAAGACAAGCAGGATTACAATAGCTATATGCTGGGAAGAATACATCAACATAACGTGGTGATCGCGTACATGCCAGCAGGAGTAAATGGGGTGGTGTCAGTGGCGATAGTAGTAAAGAACATAGCGTAGACGTTCCCTAAGCTGTGGGTTGGGCTAATAGTAGGTATTAGCAGTAGCATTTCTAATCTAGCCTAAGGAGTAAACATCTAGCTAGGAGATATAGTAATAAGTATACCGGACAAGATATAGGGTAGAGTAATATAGTATAATTATAGTAAGGCTAAGGATAGTGGGGTATTTACAGTTAAAGGACAGCTTAACTAGCTACTAGAGATGCTGCTATAGATGCTGTTATAGGTACAGGCACAGTATTAACTACAGCCTAGTAAGATTATCTAGTATATTGATAAGGTAGTAGGGAAGAACTTGATGTTGGAGGATAATAGGTTTGTATAGCCTAATATACTAGACTGGCTGATGTATACTATTTACTACACCCATATTGACAATACTGCTGGTGGGTGTAATAGTGGATATTAACATAAGGTATAGAAGAGCTTGACACTAGTGCTATATTATGGTATTATTGCTTTAGGTAATGTGGTGGTAAAGGATGCAGTGATGTGTAACCGGCTGTAAGATTAGTATAGTGCGCTCTGTATTAAGATAGAGGCCGTGAGGCTAATAAGCAACTTTCTATGCCTAGTGATTCAGGGAATCTATGACTATATAGATAGTTCTAAGAATAATGTGTGGCATCTATACGTGGTGATAATAGCAGTAATGTATACAAAAGAGTTTCTATTCTATATAGTGCCGGCACAAGCTAGCCAGGAGAAACCCATCTGTAAAAGTGTCTGGGACATTGTTAGTAAGTAGTGGTACTAGGTAACTAACACCTAGTACCTTTTTTTATTAAAAAGTTCTAACGCAATCTATTTAATGCTTTGCAGTCTCTATACTAAATAATAGGGCTAACAGACTTACATAATAGATATTCTACAGGACCTGTGATAGGACTTTCAGACTTAGACTTATGCCCTATAGGCATAGATGAACTATTAGTAAGATAACAAACACTAATGTTACTATTAAGCATTTAAACTAATTAGTAGTTACAAGGAGTAGAAGGATAGGAATCCTAACTAAGTGGAGGGGACATGTTAGTGGGTACTGTAATATAAGCAGTATTGGTGATAGCACAATAGTAAAGGTGATAGTCTCTTGTGGATTTTGACCAATCCTGGCTATAGCAAGTCAGTGTTGGCTAAGTTGCTAATAGATCATGAGCTACAGGGCTTAAGCATGCATAGTATCTACTACTTCTTCTTCAAAGAGAATAAGAAGTAGGACTGTACTATGATCACTCTATATACTATTCTTTATCAGTTACTTATATAATAGCTAAGACTGATTCACTATACACTGGCTATCTATAATCTCAACAAGCTAGATAAGATGCAGTTAGATATAATATAGCTCTAGTGAATACTGCTTGCTGCTACAAGTAATACTGAAGTACAGGAGGTAATATACATCCTAGATGCCTTAGATAAATATTAATAGGTGGACCAATTAACACTGATTTAAATGTTAGCCTAGTTCCATCATAATATGTAGCAACTATTATATATATGCTGGAGAAGCCAGTTAAAGTTTGTGGTCACTAGCCAGCCTTATAACGATATCCAGCATGTCTTTTAGTAGATATTGTTAGACCTTCTAACAATCTAATTACAAGGGGAAGAAGAGAATGATCAAATACACTGTGAGATTAACCTCATGATCTAAATACATATTACTAAGCTTAGTAGTGACTTGGACCTGCACCTAGCTATCACTAATAAACTGTAAGCCAAGCTACAGTAGATAGAGTACTAAACATACCTATGACTTCACTTAGCTATCAAGGGTATCTATACAATATACTGTAACAGTTTTATACCTAAGAAGGAGTTGATTCTCCTACTTCCCTAGACAGTAGAAGATATGTATAAGAAGATCCTTAACCATATTAATCACAACTAGAGAGGCAAGGTAGTGTAGATTTTACAGATTGTAGTGGGAAGTTAGCACCCACTGATAGTGGGGGAGATAGCAATCGCCCTAGGGATTGTATCTTAGAGATCACAGGATGTAAGAAGGGTGAGTTAGGTACACTTAGATCTATTATAAGTAAGTGGTGGTTTTTAGCGCTAGTATAGATTATTTATATTCTTCAATCATAACTAGATCTATCTTATCCACTAGATAGCTAAGGAGTTTCTCTTAGCGGATAACTAGGTGTGTAATCTACTATTAGGATAGAAGCACTATCTTAATCCAGGTTAGACCAAAGCAGTAATGGCTTAGATCTATATAGATTTCTTAAGGCTACAGGATATCTTAGATACTACTCAGGATATAGTTTGGTAAATCAAGACATATTTATTAGTTAAGAAGATTCTGCAGTCTAACAATGAGATTGAGATATTAATGGTGTATACAGCAGAACACTGGCCATTATACTTCTATGCAGTATAAGGCACAGTAAATAATGTGGATATAGCAAAACTAATACTATTCTACTACAAAGTAGATAGTCTTTAGCAACTATAGTTCCCTATCTACTAGTAATCATTAGATTACTATACTAATCTACTGGATATTAATGAACTTTAACTGGCAGCCCTTTTAGAATATAGGGAATCTATAGTGTAAATACTAGGGCAGATTAGTACAGTTAAGATTAATAAGTGTGATAGCCAGGGTAATAGCGCTGTTATCTAGGCTAGTTAATATGGCTACAAGACAGTGGTGTAGATGCTGCTGGCTGTGGGTGCTGATATTAATACACAAGGAGGCGAGTATGATAATATGCTGTAGGTGGCATCCTGGAATAGCCATGAGGAAGTGGTACAGATGCTGCTGAATGTAGGTGCTAATGTTGATACATAAGGAGGCAAGTATGGTAACGCGTTGTAGGTAGTATTAGATAGTGGCTATAAGATGGTGATGCAGATGCTGCTAGACGTGGGTACTGATATTAATGCACAAGGAGGCTACTATAGCAACACGCTATAGGCGGCATTAGATAGTAGTCAGGAGACAGTGGTGTAGATGTTGCTGGCTGCAGGTACTAATGTCAACACATAAGGAGGTGAGTATGGTAACGCGCTATAGGCGGCATCCTGGAATGGTCACAAGGAAGTGGTACAGATGCTGCTGGATATGGGTGCTAATATCAACGCACAAGGAGGCTACTATGGCAACACGCTGTAGACAGCATTAGATAGTGACTACAAGACAGTGGTGCAGATGCTACTGGCCACAGGTGCTAATGTTAACGCACAAGGAGGCAAGTATGGTAACGCGCTGCAGGCAGCATCCTGGAATGGCCACAAGAAAGTGGTACAGATACTGCTGAATACGGGTGCCAATATTAACGCACAAGGAGGCCAGTATGTCAACGCACTGTAGGCGGCATTATTCAGTGGCTACAAGATAGTGGTGCAGATACTGCTGGATGCAGGTGCTAATGTCAACGCATAAAGAGGCCAGTATAGGAACGCACTGCAGGCGGCATCACTATATAGCCACAAGACAGTGGTGCAGATACTGCTGGACACAGGTGCTAATGTCCATGCTCAAGGAGACAACTATAGCAACGCGCTGCAGGCGGCATCAGAGGGCGGCTACAAGAGGGTGGTGTAGATGCTGCTGGACACAGGTGCTGATGTCAACGCACAAGGAGGCCGGTATAGGAACGCGTTACAGGCGGCATCAGAGGGTAGCCACAAGATAGTGGTGCAGATGCTGCTAGATACGGGTGCTAATGTTAATGCACAAGGAGGCCTGTATGTTAACACGCTGCAGGCAGCATCAGATGGTGGCCACAAGACGGTGGTACAGATGCTGCTGGATACAGGTGCTAATGTCAACACACAAGGAGGCCTGTATGTCAACGCGCTGCAGGCGGCATCAGATAGTGGCCACAAGACAGTGGTGCAGATGCTACTGGCCACGGGTGCTGATGTTAATGCATAAGGAGGCGAGTATGGTAACGCGCTACAGGCGGCATCCGTAGGTAGCTACACAGCAGTGGTGCAGATGCTGCTGGACTAGAGAGCGGATGTTAACGCACAAGGAGGCGAGTATGGCAACGCGCTGCAGGCAGCATCCTGGAATGGCTACGAGGAAGTGGTACAGATGCTACTGGATATGGGTGCCAATGTCAACACACAAGGAGGCCGGTATGTCAACGCGCTGCAGGCAGCATCATTCGGTGGCTACAAGACGGTGGTGCGGATGCTGCTGGACGCGGGTGCCAATGTCAACGCACGAGGAGGCCGGTATGGCAACGCGCTGCAGGCGGCATCAGCATGTGGCCATGGGACGGTGGTGCAGATGCTGCTGAACCATGGTGCGACGACCGTTTCTTAAGTATAAGAGATGCACTTTCTATACCATCTAAACCATTCTGAAATCATTCTGAACCTTTGCTGGCTGTTAGACCATACGGAGAGGATGGATAACTAAATTATAGCGTAGATTAGATGCTCGATGGGTTTTCAGTCGTCATTACATCAGATGGATGAAGACTTAGGATTGTTGATTGGTCAGAGGCGATCCATGCGCTTAACTCGATCAGCAGTAGCGTGATGCAGAAGAGCTCCACTGTTATGGAGAGCATTCTATAAACAACCCTTTTTCTTGCCATGTGAGTTTTGCAAGGCTCTGTATGCTTTGCAGTGCTGTGGTATGTAGTGATAGACCGGTTAACTTTCTCAGTCGTGTGTCGCCTTGATCTCCACTTGGTGCAGTCTTCACGTGGATTGAGAGATTTCACCAAATCTCAGGGAGGTGCAGCTCTGCAGCCACACTTTTGAGTTTCTGGGGCACACAGACTCAGAGATAGCGAATGACCGCGGCCAAGTGCGCCTAGATGGTTCCAGTGGCGTTCCCCAGGCTTGCAGAGAGTTCGTGAAGGCCTGGAGGCAGGAACCAAACGCCCAATTGATTATCACTTTCCCGAAGCCGCAGCTCAGCTCCGCGGAGACATTCTCTTCTATCCTCGTGTGAAGTTTGTGTCAGCCTGGGGAGGGGCGCAGTCTTTCCGCGTCTTGTTTGCCACATATCTCAGTCTACTCATCCAGACATCCCGTCTATTGCCCGTGACCGCGGATACTGCCGAGCACCGGCCCGATCAAAGGACAGAACCCCAGTTTTGCACCCACCCACAGTCGTTGGCTAACGGAACGTTCAACCAACTCAGAATTAATATCGTTATCCTTGCAATATTAAAGCTATGCCTCGCGAGAATCAGATTATTACTCTCGACGACACAAAACACGACCCTTGTACCCGTGCAATCGAAGTTTTCGTAACAGATATCCACTGTTACAGCGAGGATCTTGAGGACTCTTCGCGACATTAGCTTTGCGACCACGACAAAGTCGATGAGGAAGACCTCATTGCGCATGAAGATGACACATACAAAGCACTGCGCCGAGTGCAAGGTCTACTATAAAATTCGTCAACACGACCGAATGGTGAGTATGAATTTACTAATTGCTGTGTAATTTAATTGTTTCGCTAGTTCATGTTGTTTATAGCACCAAAGTCCCATATCTCTCCCTGATTGCCAACGCGTTGACCTATGGCTTGGGGTTCTTGATGCTGCAGGTCGGGTCGTGCCACTCAGACAAGATTGTGTTTCCGTCGCGCTTTCTTTTGGATTTTTAACAAGACATGCTTGTAATCGGCACTACTTTGTGGAGCGCCTAGAGGTTGATGGTCTCAGCATGGATTTAGGACAGGAACACATTCATCATTCCAAAAGCCAACAATAGTACCAAGCCATTACCGACAAACAAGCGCTTAGCAGGACCAACTCCACCTGAGGCAGCGTTTGTTGGTGCAGCGGCCCCACTGGCGGTAGTACTTGCGCCCATATCCATGCTCGAGCTCTCCGCAGACGTAGCTCCACTTGAAAGAACTGTTGAGGACATCTCCATGGATGACGGCATGGTTGTCATTGTCATCGAAGGGTCCATGTCGGTGGATGGCATTGTCACCGAAGGGTCCATGTCGGTGGATGGCATTGTCATCGAAGGGTCCATGTCGGTGGATGACATTGTCATCGAAGGGTCCATGTCGGTGGATGACATTATCATCGAAGGGTCCATGTCGGTGGATGAGGAGCTTTGCGCGAGGGCACTGCTGGCAAGGAGGGCTGGAACTATGATCGCGTTGAACCGCATGATGGATAGTCTTTCAGGTTCAATGACGAGTTTCCAATTTAATCTTGGCTCAGTAAGATCCTGGAAGTACAGTGGCGAGAAGGAAATATGTAGAGGTGAGAGTAACTGACCCAAGGTCAGGCAAGAACCAGGCATTTAAATAGCGTTGTAAGCATTGTGGAACATTATCTCTGAAATAGACGAGCTCCTACAAGAACACCTTGGCAGATTGCGGCCTTTGTGCCTCAGAAGCCTCCTTAATGATGCAATGCCAGAAATTGCCTGTTGGAGAAGTACAAGCTGGGGATCCGCTAAAATACGCAAAAACAACTCAATCGCCAAGACCCAATCAGAGTGAGATTCGCGTGGGGCTGGAAACGCGCGAAAACCGCTCAAGCGCGGGGAATTCAGCTCGAAACGTGCTGAGAAAGGATGAATGAAACCAGGATTGCTCTTGTTGTGTGGTTATCATTCAACACGGTTATTAGAGTTTATTGTACGAAGATGCAAAGAGCCGTTCCACAAGACCGCTCGGCCGCTCGGCTGCCCGGTGATTATGATAACCTCTTTTGTAGAGTGTCGAGTCCATACCTTCGACGCCTTTCATACTTCAATCACCGTCAGTGGCTTCCTTTACCATTTCTCCTTGCAAAACACTTCTTACTGAGGTCTCACCCCAGCGGCAGGCACGGAAATGTTCGGATCTCGCCAAAAACCGCTTGAAGGGCCAGAAAGCTTTGCCCCAAAGGTGCCAGTACTGCTCGACGCACCAAAGGACGACCCTATCACATATGAGGAGCTTAGCAAGTGTGACGGTACGCGAAGAGAAGAATGCCTATCAGCTGGTGTACTAGGTCGGAGCCACTAATATTCGATTTACAACAGGAGCGGACCCTTCCAAGCCTATACTTATCGCAATCAAGGGCACCGTCTTCGATGTTTCACGAAATCGGGCATATCAACCAGAAGGACCATATTGCGGTACGCCGACCATCTTTCCTTCTTGTCCATCGCTTCGGAACTACGCACGTTCAAATGAATCCCGCGTCCGCAGCGATATCGAAGCCACATTGATATGATGAACATAAGCGACAATAAGAAAAAGATACTAATAAATGATTTAGTTTACGCCGGCAAGGATCCATCCCGAGCCCTGGCGTTATCCAGCTTGAAGCCTGAAGATTGCGTTCCAGAATGGTATGACCTGGAGGATGTATACAAGACGGTGCTGAGCGAGTGGCACGCATTCCTCAGCAAGAGATATAACATTGTTGGCAAAGTACGTATATCTTCATTACACAGTACGAAGTCAACATCCAAGCTATAATTTGTCTTTACCGTTGTGCCTTGAAGGCGGGGAGAACTTGCGCAGTGCCTCGTTAAAGGACTGGCAGTTGCATGTCGAAAGCGCACTTGAAGTACATGCGAAGTCTAAGAACGAATACTGATCCTTGATACCTCACAGGTCCAAGCAGCTAATAATCTATAACCACAAGATATATCTAAGAGACCTATCGTCATACAATCCGCGAATTATTGGCATTCCTGAAATACTGTCGGAGCGGCGCTGCAGTGTTGATGCGCTTCTACATGGACACTTCTGATCTTCGGTTGATCTACGGACTCGAACTTTATGTGCCTCCTGCTTGCCATTGATTATCGTTAAAGGCATGACACTGACAGAATTAAACATAGTCACACTGAAAGAAATCGGCATTCGTGGCCATGAGGTGTATGGGACATCCCATCTGGAACCGAGAGAGAGAAGCAAAAGAACAACCAGTGCAAGCTACTTCATCGCATCTATCTTTAGCGAGAAACACATGGTTGCCAGTTACTTCAGCTGGTTATTCCCAATCATTTGTTTGGCCGTTAACCCGATGCTCTGGCGTGAGATGAGCGCTGACAGCGGCGACGTTGAAACTGTACGCCCTGCCAAACGTGCCCGATCCTAAATGATTGCCCATGTTGTTGCGGCCGCCTATTAGCAATTCATATACTTTGGTGAGCGTTGGAGAGTTGAATGTACTTCGACAATGTGAGTCGCAGCGCTCTTTTGGAAAACCCCGAATGCCCAATAATTAGTATCTAAGAGTCTGAGACATACACATTGATATCCGAGTAATCGCGGTAGGAGAGAGCATTGGTCCATTCCGACAGAGATCGAATTCGAAACTCTGTTCGTATGCGCGGAGTCACGCCCTCAATTCACCGAGATGTCAAGTAGCTAACAGACCTTCTTGCTCTTTTGTCTCCCCTCTCCCCCTTCCAACAGGCTCCGCAATACTTATCAGACTAATCCTGTAAATTTTGAGTTCTGAAATCTTTTCTTCTATCCGTAAAAAACGGTAAATGTGGTGAACAAGATGGTGGCGAAAAGGAAGATTGACTGTGTTGCCTCGAGTGTCAATGGAGCACCGCGATTTTCCATGCTGGTCATGTTGGGATTGTTGGCTGCGTTGTCAATGGACCCAACCATGCCGAACAGTTGCTGCTCATTTTCCACCAGGACCACAGCCATTCCGCTCTGATTTTGCAAATTTAGTGGATACCGTCGTTGAAGTGGAACATGACATACCACTAGATGCCACTGCACATGGCAGTGAAGTAGCCACGCTCCCGGGTTATCTGTGACATAGCTGAGGGGTATTAGTCACTGCTATGTCCAACTCATATCCATTTGAGGCTCTCACCGGATAACCGCCCATCCAGACGCTGGCAAGTCTATTGTGTCGCGAAATGGCGGGTTTTTCAAGTTAATCATTGATGAAGGTGCAGCGTCAACAGAGTCATACGGGAACATGCCCTCGCCAGCTCCAAGGAACCAAAACTTGTGGCCGTGAAGATGAATGGGATGTCCCATCTATTAGAATCGTCGTGTCAGTTATAGTGTGTTTGACGTTTCAGGAATAAGAACAGCGACGCAGACTTACCACGTCCATAGAATCATTTGCAACATGCATAACAAGGTCAACAGTCGAATTGCCTGGCAAGTGTAAAGTGGTAGCAGATTCCCAAGCATCAGAAGCATTGCCGTAGATGATTGGGCGTCTCGGCTCTGAATATGGCTGGTCGCTAATCACCCAGGTCACGATCCCAGTTTGATTGATTGAAAAAAGTTGTGTCAAGTCAGGCGATCCGGTGGGAGGTGTGACACTTTCGAAAGGTGGAAGGTTGTGGTCGTCCAGTTCAGGAGCGTCCAACTTCGCAGAGCCATTCACCAGCATCCAAGATAAGGCCGGATCCTCAACGACGGTCATCTGAGAGTCCATACTGGTGTTCTGAAATTGTCAACCACATTGCTAGCAGCCGCTGTATCTCGCAACTCACCTTGTACGACATCAGCGCATAACCTTCAATTACTTGCTGCATATCGCCATAGGGATATGAAGCGAAACGTAAGGAGTACATCGCCGGTTGCTGATCAAGTTTAACCATTACGGAGTACCGTTGGCCAATCGAAATGTGCAATACCTGTCTCATTTAGCCGATATCCGAAATAATTTTGCGAAAACACTGACTTTGATTTCTTGCGGTTCCACATATAGTCCATCTGCAGCATACACAATCATCGAGTGTCCATCAAGTGAAACACTCATCCTGCTGACCGCCGCTGCATTAACCAAATGAAGAGCAGCCCATCCGCGTGAGGCATCAACATCAAACATGAAGACGTCACTGGTGGTGTTGCTGCATGTCTCTTGCGGAAGAGAACTGGCATTGAAACCTGGCTTAAACATCATCGGCATGCTGCAGCCTTTAGGGCCAAGCGTTGAGATGTCAGACATGCCAGACATGGTGGTCATGTCGGGGTTGGATGTTCCTGTTGGGGACGCCGTACTCGTGTCAGTTGGCATGGAATCTGACATCGACATTGAACTGTGCTCCGACCTCTTGCGCATGCTCATAGATGAGTCCATGGAAATCAAGGCCGTAGTGGTAGATGTTGGCATAGGCATGTCGCTATTCGAGGTGTCTGACATGGATGGCATTGACATTGTCGAGTCCATAGGTACTGAATCATGCGGATCGTTTGCAACGTCGGACTGTATTCCCAGTCCTGGTCCAGCCTGTAGCACGTTCTGGGGTAGGCATCGTACTCTGCCCTGTCCATTAGCCAGGAGGCTGTCCACGCACTGAGGAAATGCTCCAGTAGTGAAATATTCACCATAGACTATATCTGAGGGTCTATGGTACCAGTCGGCCAAAACGACTGGAATTGCGCCTCTCTCAGCTTGGAGCATCTTGCTCAATTCTGCTTTGTCCTCAGCGAGGCTCTCAAAGGGGCGTCGGCGCGAAGAGGAAGGATGAATGATCAACGGTCCGCGGATAGCATCGTTGTAGTACGCTCGGAAGTGAGAGTGATACCAGTAGAAGCCGTATTCAGAGGCGACAGAGAATCGATACGTAAAATTTCCGGTGGCTGGAATTGGGAACTATGGAATTGTAAGCATATTAGATCAAAGGTGGGAATTCAGTAACCTGGGTGACACCCGGCACTCCGTCCATGTCTGGAGTTCCGTCCTGCAAAATACCTGCATTTCCTGTGTCAGTTTCCTTGAGTTGTTTCTCGCAGTGAGCGACTGACCATGCCAGTGAATGGTTTGCTCAACGGGTAGATCATTTTGCACAAAGATTTCGAGTTCGTCTCCTTCCTCGGCCTCAATTAATGGACCAGGTTGTTGACCGTTAATGAGGTAGACCTTGCGCCATACTCCATCTAAAAAATTGATTAGATACAAATGTGATTTGAAATTGAGGTCAGATTCTTTACCGGGAGCTCTGTCGCCTTCATGGATGGTGAGGTTGTAAGAGCGAAGTGCACCGGT